GGGGGGGGGGGGGGGGGGGGGGGGGGGGGGGGGGGGGGGGGGGGGGGGGGGGGGGGGTTCTAGCCTGCGTGGTGCTAACGCCTCGCCTATCCCTTACGAGACCCAAAACGCTTGTCGAGCTGCACGGGGAAAGAATCACACACACAGGAGCAGAATAGCATATTTTTTTTTGTCCCCCAACCAGCAAACAATGTGTCAAAGTATGAAAAGCAGGCCAGTGGCACCACCTTTTGCTGAAAAGAAGAAACAAGGAAGGATTCTGATCAGGTACGAATTAGCGTGTGTTTGTCACCATAGCCCCACCCGTCAAGGAGGGGCATATGACTGGGGCGGCATCCACAGCGTGAAGCTCATCATCTCAGAAACCAGCACGTTTAAAGCTTCGCGCACACGCAACTGACACAACTCAACCGATACGCCAAAACTTTGCAACAACACGACCGATCTCCCGAATCTCCGTTGCTCCGGCGACAATCCACCCTCTACATTTCACATGGCTTCAAAGGCATGTCATCGGATGAGCTTCTGATCAGCTACGATTTAGCGTGTGTTTGTCACCATAGCCCCTCCGTTTGGAGGAGGCATATGACTGGGGCGGCATCCACAGCGTGAAGCTCATCATTTCAGAAACCTCCCTCACATCGTCAACATCAGCGACAAAAAACATCTGTGTTGCCTGCTACTGCTGTATTCCCTGTCGCGCTGGGCATACTTAACGAATCAAGCCCGAAACAGAGAGATGATGAGAAAGTAGTGTCTTCAAATGCTTGATAGGTGTTCCTGATCAGATACGAATTAGCGTGTGTTTGTCACCACAGCCCCTCCATAGTTGGAGCAGGCATATGACTGGGGCGGCATCCACAGCGTGAAGCTCATCATTTCAGAAAAATTGCTCACATCGTCAACATCAATCAAAAAACAACATTTGTGTTGCCTGCTACTGCTGTATTCCCTGTCGCGCTGGGTATACTGATATTATCGAGTCAAGAATCAAGAGATGGAATCAGTGTCTCGAAATGCTTGATAGGTGTTCTGATCAGATACGAATTAGCGTGTGTTTGTCACCATAGCCCCTCCACAATTGGAGGAGGCATATGACTGGGGCGGCATCCACAGCGTGAAGATCTTCATCTCAGAAGCAACAGAGGGAGAGCAAACAAGACACAGCAGGCAATGACAGCACCGTCCGCAGACTGCTACACACACAACGTTCCTACAGCAAGGCGTGCACGACAGAAGCTACGTCTTGGGGGTGACGGTCTGGTGTCAGGTCCACTCGGCATTGGCAGGAGGTGGCACGGGCGGACAAAAGGTTGCAGAACCCTTTCCATACCACACACTCATACATCGACCGTTCTATCATCGACGGGAAGCCTCTACAGCTCCGAGAGGCACGGTGACTAGAAAACATCAAGAAAGACCCTGGTACAACCACGGCATGTCCCACCCGGTGCCCCGACCTTGGCCATGCCTGTCCCAGGAACGGAACTACTTCGTCTCGTCTCGACAAGGCGCCTGCCGCCAAGTGACTTCTCACGAAACGCGACAACTTCAGGACGAAATACAAACCCGCCACTGGACCATTGATCCCACCTTCCGGGAACCGTGGTCATCGGTCTTCCACAGCGAAGGTATGCAGAACATGAGAACGCCCCCCCCATCCCCCGAACACCTCACGGCGCTTCTCCGCGCTTGGTGATGTGATCGATCGCCTGGTCCGGTGAGGACCCGGCTTGCTCGTCCCGACTTCCAAGGTCCGAGGTATAACGACTACCGGTGAGGCGTTGGCGGCTATGAGTACACCTCCCCCCCCTGCTTACCGCTTCGTCCTCCGGAGGCGCCGCCTCATTGGTGGACTCCAGCAGGCCCGCCGTCCTCATGGCATGCTTCCGCCTCATGCGCTCCATGGCCTCCTTCAACGTGTCCTCCATGCTGTTGGGCTTCTCGTCGGCCTCTCGCGACTCCTGCGGCGTCTCCATCCGGATCTCCTCCATCGACTTCATGGAGTGGCTGGCGTTGTCGTCCACCTATTACATGAGGGTGTGTGTGTGTGTGTGGGGGGGGGGGTGTACTCATAGTCGTGCATGCCGTGGTCGTTAGACCATTGACCACGCGTCCTCGAGAGTGCGGAGCATTGTTCCCACAGGACCGATCACTCATGGCCAATCGTTCCTTCCGTTGGGGGGGAGGAGGCGGGAGCACACATGTTTTGCATGCCTCTGTTGTTAGCACATTGACCGTGCGTCCTCGAGAGGACGGAACCACCTACATGGGGTGGGTGGGAATACACAACGATCGCGTTGGAGTGAGCTTGGTGGGTACTTCGAAGCGCGGGAACGGTGGAGGTACCAGCACATCGTCGACTTCCGTTTGATTCTACAGAAAGCAAGGGGGGTGGAAGGTCTCCCCACACATCGCGAATTCCTGTTTACCCGGCAATCATCCGTCAATCAACTCTAATAGCGTCAGCCTGTATCAACCGGTGTCCATTTGCCAACGCATCTCTTGCGACACGCCGCAAGGAAGGAGATGCAGGCTGCGGGGTGAAATAATCCCCAACATATCTGGCCGGTGCGGGACAGCGAGTCCTGTCTCCGTTGAGGGCAAGAAGAGACCCCACGCATCATACCTGCGCCGCGAGACCGAACTTTTTCCACTGCGTGCGCTCCAGGCAAGACTTGTGCACTCGCGTGTGCTCCGTGAAGACCTTGACCTTAGTGGTCCGCTTCACCTGTTGTTGAAAAAATCATCATTGATCGTTGCTGTCGTGGCTATATCACTGATACCGTTGCAGTGTTTTGTTTTTTTCGCAGCATCAGTTGTGTTGCGGCACCAAAAACATATGTGGTGGTGCCCGCTGACATCGTGCCCCTGTAGCAATTGCGCGATCGGGAACGAACGCTACATACCGTGGGCAATCCACGTTTTGCGTCTCGAAGGCATGCTGTGGCTGGCATTGGTGATGAAAGCTTCATTTTCCCCATGTTCCCGTCACAAAAATGCAAGTTGTGACTCGCTGTCTACTGAAGGTCCATGGACGGGTAGCCTGGTCGCGGGCCTCGTCACGAAGCCAGTTCTTAGTTGGAGTGCTGTTGCGGCTCAATGCGGCACGGCAACAAGTTCATTGGACCAAGCAGCAGCACGATTGCAGCTTGTACAAGCGCAGGGGGTAGCGAGAGTCACGGGCGGCAGTGTTCCGGTGCCGAGCTCCGCGGCGGAAGCGAGCGAACGAGCGAGTCAGCCACGCCCCTCCCCACCTTTTTACCTTTGCACCATTGGCGTTGAAGTGGTACTCGACGATGCTCTTGACGCCGTTAGAGTCCACCGCCGACTCTTGCCGAGGGGGCAGGTAGTCGTCATCGTCATCATCTCCCCACGCTTGTCGTCCAGGCATGATGGAATTAACACTTGGACCACAGAGAGGTTGCAACAAGGAGAAAGCAGAGCAAAAAAATGAATCGATCTTCGTCACATGAGCGAACGCGGGAAAAAAGGGTGGATCGTGGCATGTCGGAGGGCAGCACACTACTCTTTCTTCCCCGTGGTTGTATTTTGTCGTCCGTAATTTTGGCCGACGTGAGAGTGACGTATGTACCTCTCAGCGCGCGCTTATTGGCGACGCGTTCGATGGAACGAAAAGCAGCGCTGGGTCTACAAGGCAACACGAGGGTGAGGGGCGTTTGTCGCCCACTGCCCATTGTACAGCAAATGTAACTACTGTACGACTGCTGCTGCATATTTTGCGCACGAGAGGCGAGATATGCACCAATATTGTGCCAGGTGCATCTCCGAGGGAGCTCGGCCAACCCACACCGACCCAAACGCCACCGCCTTGCCAACATTATCGCGACCGGAAAACGTGGCATACACACCGCAGCAGTTCTCCCCCTCTCGTACCAAGCTCCGCGACAGGTGGTGTTTTTTGTTTTGTTTTTTGTTTGTTTCTCTCCCATCATTGGACTCTGTCGTCTGCCCCTCTGGCTCCTATCCTCCACTTCTACTGGCTAGACGACCCAACCGGGGTCACATAGGAGGGGGGGGGTTGGACCCCCTCCTGCGGTTCATGCCGGAGGTATTCTTATCGCGAGAAGGGTACAGCAATCCCTTCCCTCGCGACTTACGACGTCGATTGTGGTTTACTAACAAACGAGCTTTGCAGCGCGTCGCTTTCATCCTAGACCAGGAGTTATTTAGTGAGAAGAAAACTCTCCCTGCCGGGACTCGAACCCATGACCTGGCCCTTAGCAGGCTGCGAGGCTACCCACTAGACCACCGGGGCGACCGGTGTGTTGGTGTGTGCACTACTGGCTGTGCACAAAATGCTTGCGATATTGAAATGCTCTGTGCGCAAACACGACGACACAGTACACCAGCAAACAGAAAAGTAAGGCCCATCCACCCTTTCCTTTTCTTCGTATGGTCGTACAATAGATTGTCATCGGGTGCTTTTTGCTTATGCATACCAAGGCGTGTACTCGCGGGGAGATGAGTGAGTCCTCACGTACGTCCAAAGGTTCCAGTTCAAAATGGAGGGCGTGCATCGGTGTGTGAAAAAATGTTGCACATGGTAGATGCCACAAACCCAACAGGGAAAGGCAACCATTACCTTGCAAGGAAGGAAATTTTTTGGGCATCAACGATATGGGACCATAACCTGCGTGGCTTGCTTAGGCCTAAAGGACACTCGACAATCACCACGGCTGAGCAACACGACAACCATCCACCATCAGGGTTAGAGCCATACAGAGCCGTCGCATAGGCAAAACACAGGACGCACAGCAATATAATCAAATAACTCACATAAACTGACGAACAAAGGTAGTATGACCCAGCGGCTGCTGCCGTATTACTTCTTCTCTCTCGCTTCGTAGGGGTAGCCGAGCTAGGCAGAAGGGTGTTCAGCGGCATACGATGCCAACGATGCACCCACGGGGCGACGCGCACAATAATCAATTTTATGAAGGATATGTTGATGAAACAGAGAACCCCCGCAACCACCCAAACTTAGTTTTTTTTTATTATAGGTCATATACCATTGAAAAATATAAATATACAATGAAATTGGATTTGTTGTGTTGTTGTTGTTGTTGTTGTTGTTGTCTCCACTTGTTGTTGTTGTCTTCACATTAAAAACCATCCCGGTCTCTCTATCCAGTACCTCCTTCTGTCTCAATCTCTGCGTACTAATCCAGCACTTGACTCGGTCAATTTCCGTGGTCACAGGCTAACGTACCTAGAAAAGGTATACCAAAATAAAATGGACCCCAAGGGTTAGCAGAGCGATAAAATACAAGAAAACAAATCAGAAACAAACAAATAAATAAATAGTGGAACGTGCGCAGCAGTGTGTGATGTAAAGAAAAAAACAGCTGCCAGTCTGAACCAGCTGTAGGTTCCGCCGCATCAACCTCATGCTCGACCTTCCAGCTCTATTGCTGGACAGCCAGCATCACCAGACACCAGCCAGGCTATCGAAGATCCAGCAGAGCACCAAGGGTCAGTCCAACACACACCACACCTGAATTTTTGTGTAATAGTTCAGAAAAACGTGGTGTCATTGGTAAGGCGCAAGTAACCCAAGAGAGGTTTGGACTGCACAAAGCGAAGCCGAGAAACACGGCCTGTGCTGGGATCGCGAGCTGCAATGAAGCCGTGCGGTGCGACGTCTGCGGTGCTCACAGCGGTGGCCGCGTGCGTGGCGTACGCTTTCATATTTTGGGGTGGGCAGCAGCAGCGGTCGAGGTCCGAGGGCGGCGGGGAGTATGAGCTCGGGTCGGGCAAGATGTTCGACTCCATTGCTCCTCGGTACGACCTCATCAACAAGGTGCGGCAACCGCACGGCTCATGACGCCTGTTGGGTGCACACCAACACCATGCACGGTCATGCGGTATCGAACAGCAGAGACAGTGGCAGCAGAAGTGATTAATGTAGTGGTGGACAGCCTAACCAGGACAATGCGACCTTTGGCCGGTGGTACTGCTGCCATATGCACCATGATCATGAGGATCATGCGCACACCCGTCGTGTGCACATGTTTCCGTTCCTGCAACTGGTGCCTACCTAGGGTGTCACGGCGGTGTGTACTGCTGTATATTTGGCGCTGCCCAGGCCATTTGGACCCATCGGCATTCCAGTTTCTCTTAGGTCGGTAGCTACTATGTACCACCAGGCACGTGGAGGGCGGATGTCGTGTGGGGTGATTTGCCGCCGATGCAGCTACCGGTGATTACGAAGCGCTGTTGGTCGAGAAAATGGGCTCGAGAGACACACCCATGTATCCACACGCGGGCGATAAAGTATGCAGGGAAAGGTTAGACCACGCGTTTAGTGGCAAGCGTGCGTAATCCTATCACACTATCAGATGGCTCCCTTGATTCCCTCGTCACATCTAAACGCTCATCATCCATCCTTCCTTGCCCCATGGCTTGCGCGTACATGCTCGCTCGTTGCTCTCTGCCCTGTTGACCGTGTACTTCTGCCTTTTTCTGTCCAAACAGGTGATTTCCCTTGGGTTGGACATGCAATGGCGAAAAGCAATGGTTCGAGGCCTCGAGGTGAGAGGATAATCTTCGCAGTTGTCAGTCAGCGCTCTTACTTGGTAGCAGGGAGTCGGTGCTATTTCGAACAGGGTGAATCATAACATCAAAGTTGCGGCACAGAGCGTGACAGCACCTCACAGAAAGAATGACCGTTACCATCACCGGCAGCTACGGAGAGAGGGCCCGCACGCTTCCCGCTCACTGGAGTCCTTCGTGTTTTTTCTGCTTTGCTCTGCTCTGCCCATTCTCGGGGCGAACAACAGCTGCGAGATGGAGACCGAGTGGTAGATATGGCCACGGGGACGGCAGACGTCGCGATCATGATTTCCGAAGAACTGGCCAAGCTGGAGGGGACCCCAGGCGACCGAGGAACGATCTCGGGAACGGTCGAACCGGAGGTGATCGGGATCGACCCTAGCGCGAGGATGCTAGAGGTGAGTTTGACGTTTGAAGGTCAACTGTATCAGACGTTCACACCTTGGTCGTTGAACAGCACACATGTTGCTTGGGGACGAGTGTCGCATGTTCCAGCCCTGAAGCCCGAGGCCGTGAAGGCAACAAGTTGCTCCGGAATTTCAATTTGATTGGTATGGTGGTCGCACGAGTCAGCAATCGCTTATTCGGGTAGCCTAGGAATATTTGGGATTGGTGTTGGTAGGAAACTACACTTGTTTTGATATGAACGACCTGCTGGAGGATTTAGGCGTGCACCCTGGAGAGGTGCTGTGCGGCGGCTGGCCTGCTGAAAGGAGTACACCACAATGCCCCAACATCACTACCGGTTCCTCCTACCCTTTCCTCTGAATGGGTTGGTTCACTTCAGCAAGGGCCCTTCCTTGATGGAAGCATCAAGCTAAATTTTGTGGGTTCCCACGACGATCTGTCGGCGCCGTCTGTTCCGTGCTCGTATCACCTTGTCCCGGCGAGCGAGCGGCCCGGAACCACATATCCCCGAAAAACAGGGGCTGTTCTTCTTTCCGTCCGAAGGTTACGGTGGCCGGGTAGAGCGTCCACCCGTTCGTCCATGTGTGTATGTATGCATTTGTATCAGACCTAGCCATCCCGGAATCGTCGTCTCCTACACATTTCAGGTTGGGCGGGAGAAGGTTGCGGAGGCGGGGCTGTGTTCTCGGATACGCCTTCAAATCGGGGACGCTCAAGATTTGGCGGATATCGCGGACGGATCGGTGGACAAGGTGAACGCTTACAGGGGTATGATTCGGGGGGGAGGGGAGCTTGGCGAAGTATCATCCTGGACTATTCCGTTCCTGGGGAGGAGGCGGGCGTGTCTGTTGACTCGGCGGTGATGCATTCGCGGACTCTATCGGGGAGGTTTCTGGTCTGTTCGTTTATTTTGTTGGTGTGCACGACGTTACCCTTGATACTTGTCTGTTTGGTGCGAGGTCGGTGGTGTTTGAGGCGTTGATGTGGTGTTGCAAATCTCGCAATGCATGGATTGGTTTATCGCGTCTAGTCCGCAGGTACGAACGTGTCCCTCCCGTCGTCAGGCTTTCTTCCTGAGCCCCCTACAATCCTCCTACAGTGGTAGCAGACCGTCACCTTCCACCTTCCACCTTCCACCTTCCACCTTCCACATTCCACATGCCACATGCCACATGCCACATGCCACATCCCACATGCCACATCCCACATGCCACACAAACTTCACCTCCCCTAAGCACTGCGCGGATGCGACTCTTCCGTTCGGCCGCCCATTTCATCCAGCTGACGATGGCCTTCGGGATCAGAAACGTCCCCGATCGACCTAAGGCCTTGAGAGAAATCAGGCGCATCATGGCAACACCAGCGCTAGATGCGGGGGCACATGGGGCGACAGACGACGCTGGCGGTGCGGGAGGACAAGCGTCTTCGTCTTCGGTTGTTGCGATTCTAGAGCTCCAGGACCCGGAGTCGGGCTTGCTGGCGTCGGCGTCAAGGGCTTTCATAAAGTGCGTTGTTTGTGATTGGCAACGCAGCAGTTTGCCTCGGGCAACCGTGCTGGTCCGCTCTAAGAGGTTCTCGATTTTAGGGTGGCGTGTCATCGCCATGATACGGGACGGTGCGTAACGAGGACGTTTTTGTTTATCTGAAGACGTATGAAGTGCGGTATTTTCGACCAATTTTCCAACACTGGCGTCTCCGTCGTTGTCGTCGTAGTCGTCGTTTTGTTTCCTGGGTACAGTGTTACCATGTGCTTTGCTTTTGGCGTGTACGCTTTGTGAATGGGAGTGAAAGCACCGCACCCGCTCGCACGATGTCCGTTATGCGAACAATCGAACTTGGGCCGTTAAAACTTTTTTTTCTGGCGTTTTTTGACTGCGCTATCTACGTTGTGTCGACGAAAACATATGAATGATATGGACATCATTGCAAACTCGTGCTTCGCCTCGTTGGCTTGAGGAGATGGGAGACGGAGTTCCGTTCGCCCACGACTGGGATGCCCATGATTGTGCCAACGCGCAACGGTTCGCACTAATTGGAAATAGGTAATAGTGAAGCATTCAAGAGGATGAGCGACCGCATACGACGAAAACCGAAAATTATGTCGCTGGAAGAATCGCAAACACATTTTGTTTGTAATGACTTGGACGTTCGCATGATACTGCTCGATGGCATTAAAATGGCCCTAAGCAGGGATCAAGACAATAGATTGATGTTGCCGGCGTGCCGACTGGTCTGATCATGTTCCACATATGTAACGTTGTTCCCGTTTTGGTTGTAGGCCCTTGTGAAGCCGCCCCCTTCGTTCTGCCTTTTTCGAACGACTTGTGACTATTTTTGCGGTTTCACTCCGGCCAACTTCACAAGGAGCCGCCGTCACCTGCCTGTTGGCTTTGAGAATTTGTACATTCAAAATGCCACAATATTTCGGTGGGACACAAACATATCCTACCGAAGCCAATTTTTCACCCATTTTTCTTGTCTTGTTCCTTTCGCTCTTGTGCGGCAACTGTCGTGCTTTTTGTAGTGTTTCATTGCACTTGTCGCTGTTCGATTGCTCTTATCGCTCTTCGATTGCCCTTGTCGCCGTTCGAGTTCCCTGATCGCTGCTCTGTTGTCTGTGGGGATATCGATGTGCCGAGACAGGTACGGGGCGCCCTTGTTGGGCTGGGTGATGAGCGGCAACGGAGCTGAGTACGGGCACTTGAAGAACTCAATTCTCAGATTCCCCTCGGTGTCGGAGTGGACAGCCCTGATGGAAGACGCAGGCAAGATTCACCTAGTCGCGCCGCTGCCCCCGGGTGCTTACGGGCTACAATCTCTGTTTTTTTTTTTGTTGTCTTTAGCGCGGTGCTCATGTGGAGTATGTAGTTACGGGACTGCCATGCTTGTTTGTGTCGTGTACTCCTTGTTTGTTATCTTGGAAGCTATGTAGAAACGATCAACCTCTGCAAGCACCGCTCGTAGGTGCTCCTCCCGCACGCGTTCATGTACCACATTCTTTTACTTCGTCCCCCGAACATCACGACGACTGAATGGCAAGCCCGCGACTGCGATCGTGAGTTTAAGTCCTTGAGAGCACGGACCAGGTTTTCTTTGTCGTTAGCACAGGTGGTGTTTTTGTCAGTGTCGTCTTACCTCCAGCCCGGTGGGCTGTACGCGTTTTCTTTCATGTATCTGTTGATGCTTATTGATCGTATTCGTGTTCTGTTTTTTCCCGCTCTGCCCACACTCATATTTCTCCCATAACCCCCCAATATCGTGACTCTTCTGGTGTGTGCGGCACCCCCGATAACGCAGCATCCCCTCTATTTCAACTGTGAAGGAACAGGCTGTTGCCCCTTGATCGCGTCAGTTTTCTCATGTGTATGTGCACGACCCCCCCCCCCCCCCCCC